GTTAAAGAGAATAAGAAATTGCCTATTAAATGAATGTATATTTCATTGTTTGCTGCTGCGTTTCGTTACAAAAACTCCGTCATTGGATACGGTGAAATATGTTTGCGAACAATTCTCTCAACTGCACGGAACAATAAATTCCCCGGGAATGATTTGAGGGATGTTACTTGGGTGCACTGTAAATAAGCACTTAATATTCCGAGGGGCAAATATCCGTCGGATTGTTGTATTTGCCCTGGGATCATCACTGAGACCAATTCTGGTAGAGGTCTTTGACGAAATTGTTACATAGATCACTGAAGTCTCAAATCAGCAGAGTAGGGATGTATATACGTTATGAAATTGGCACGTTTCCACTCTGCAATAAGAAAGTGTAGGTTGTGCATTTGTTAAAATCGTCTAACGGAGATCATCAATAGTTGATTTTCAGCAATAAGCACAGGTCAGGAAACCGTTTTTCGTTTCCAGAAGCTAATATTATTCGAACTGACAGTGGATAGTATAGCAGAAACATTATAGCAAGACAACACTGAAACTGCGCATCAATGTCTATTTGCGATTTCAATAAACTGCAAACGGAAACAAGCCCGCACTCTTTGCAATCGAGTGCGCAGTACTTGCACACCAGACACGTTACCTTGGAATTTCAGCGGATCAATGGAGTTCACAAAGTGGAGGGGAACCCAGATAATTTCATTCTTAAATGCTTAAATAGCCTAAATAACGCACTTTAATAAAAAGAATTTTAATTCGAACGACCTCTATCAAATGTGGTTAAAATTATTAGCAGGGTGAAATTTATATATATATATATATATGCACAAAGAGATCATCGAATATCACTTTGCAAGGCCGGAGCTTTCATGCTAAAATACTAGTTTGCATGATTTCCTTAGCTCCGTCAAAGTAAGGGAATACCTGGACGTTATTTGCATGCTAGCAGGTATTCCACACGTAACACTTACTATGTTGAAAATGAGTCCATAGAAAAGCCAAAGATATGGTCAAGGAAAATGGTTTTTTATCAGGCAATACGTACCGAAAAAATGCCGCATTCAGTTATGGCCTGGCAAGCTCTACATCTGCGGACTAACGCTAGTCTTCGTACGCAATAAGGACTTTTAACGGAACGACGCCAAGACAACAGAACACGGCAAGCTGACCGCGTGTAGATGTGTATTCTGATCAGAACAGGTACAGAGCATCAATCAAGTAACTGAAGCCAACCATTCGTGAGTTGATAATCGCTAGACAGACGGGCGCACACGGTCAGTGCTGATGTGAAAGTTAATTGGAGCGAGTAACTCATACGCAACATTTCTCCTTCCTATACTTGGCACTTCACCGACAGCCTGATAATGATGAACTCCGTATTCAAGTTGATCGACTGGTACTTTGCATGTCCGGAAATTTCCTGTTAACGTAACACTTTGCATGGATCCGAATTTTCTCCTCCCTATATTTGGCAAAGCCAGACACCCTTGGTGGCAATCAACTGGAAGACGGACTCTAGTCGAACGGCGTATTAGTTGAGCTTCTGGCTATCTTGGGGTCTCTTTGGTCTCCATGACCACTGGATGGGTTGAAACGGAACAACGACGGAAGTGATCCACCACCCCGCCATCCCGTAGTGCAACCTGCGCTCTTTGGCATTCAATTTTGCGTAAACCTGCAGGTTGTAAATGGGCTCGTGAGACAGTTTGTCGTAAACCGTGTCCTCCTCACGAAGTTCTCGATCTGCTACTTTACGGTCTTTACATATCTGATGTCGAAATTTTGAAAAACTCTTGGGACTGTTGGCTAGTGCATACAGAGCCGTTGTATGTCACTAGAATTTGCAGGATACCAAATATGCTGAAACGTGTTTTTATGCATGGAACAGTTGTTTCGGAAGTGGCACGTGTCAGCAGAATTACCTCATTTCGTTTGCAACAAGCATCGACTATGAGAAGAAGCAGCTTTCCATTAAGTGGGTCAAAGTAGTGTGCATGTAGTCGCTCGCAAGGCTGGTCGGCCTATTTCCATGGACTTCATGGCAACGGGAGGGCGTTTCTTTGTGTAATTTGACATGATGTATACTGTCTGTTAGATGTTTCTATATCGCTATGAAAGCCGGTCCACCGCACATAAGACCGCGCGAGCCCTTTCATTCTGTTGATATCTGTGTTAGCTTCGTGCAAGTCCCATAGCGTATTATGTCCTAATCGAAGCGGCATAATAGCCATGAACAACATAATGTACAGTTATCCACGAGAGTTGGTTCTGTACGCCGAGTGAAGTAATGCGACAATTACACGCCCCATTTATCTGGCTATCTTTGGAAGACCCAACCTTTTACTTATCTGAGCAGTCCACCACGCTCTGTCCCACGACGGACTTCCGCGTTCAAAACCGGCATTAAATAGATTAATTCAGTTGGTTCCAATACGCAATCTGGCAGATGAGTCAACGGCAAACGAAGCAAGGCATCCGCCATATCGTTTACTTTCCCGGGGAAATAAGTGATAGGACAACGTGTAAGCAGATAAGCAAAGCTCAAGGTTTACTAACAGATTAACCTTAAACTAGATGTCTATGGTTGACCACTGCCACTTAGTATATTTTCGTACTAAAATGTACAGGCGTGCGAGTATTGTGGCCAGATCAGGTAGGATGCCAATATGGTGTATTTATATTATTAAGTGGAATGCAGTTCACTGATTTTACATATCATCGGACAAACAAGATGGGGTGGACTTTTTCCATTAGCGGTTGGAAACCATGTTTATCCAAACAAAATCCAAGCTAGTGGACATTGTCTGCGAAAAATGCACATTTGGATTCCTTCAGCTGGGGTCCGATGTCCTTTCAAGAGCTTCGAAAGCGATGTCACATGCTTGTGCTCAGTTCTGCCAGAAACTAAGATGTCATCTAGACAAGCGCATACAACGGGTTTTCCTATATTAAATTATCAACAATCCTCTGAAATCTTGCCGATGCAGAATGTGTTCAGAATGGAGTGTTTTGTAGTAGAACAATTCCATGTGCGAATTGATGATTGTCATTAGCGGTTTCATGCAGCTCTACTTGGGAGTAATCGTGGCTTAAATGAAGTTTGGGAAACGTCGGTTCACCTGATAGAGTTGTGTATAGGTCATCAATCCGCGGAATCCGGTGGTGTTCTGACATCTCCGCTTGGTTACAAGTAAACTTGTAGTCACCATACACACAGAGCCATCGGGATTTTGTAGTGGAACAATTGGCGTGGTCCAAGATAAGTGGTGTACCGACGCTAATATTCCATCTTTTTGAAGGCGCTGCGGCACTAAATGAACTTTCGGACGAATATGAAATGGTAAGTTAGATGCCTTAAAAACCTTTGGCTGGACGTTCGGTCTGACATTGAAATAGACTTTAAAAGCATGTAGTTTACAGGGCGATGTTTCATCCGACACACAAGCATACTTTTACAAGAAGGAGGGCATGTTTGGATTATGGTCCACTTCTTGCGGCTTGAAATGGTTCTGGCAATTGTTTGAGCCAGTTTCTACCAAGGAAGTTCGCGCCAGCTGTGTTAACAAAAATTAAAGGGAAGGATAAAATTGTCGGCTGCCTGAGTTATCTTTAAAGCACACCTCCCCATTACATCTGGAGATGCACCAGTATACTTACGTAAAACAGCCAGTGTCGGGACATGCTTCAGGTCGGGCGGTGTATGGTTGATTGCAGACGTAACCGAGGCACCCGTATGGGTTTCTGGGGGCATGGGTTGACCTTCACTCACAAGTTCTGCAGTGTATGGTGGTTTTCCCTGCACAGGTGCATTGGTATTATGTGAAATCAAGTAAGTTATGGACTTATCTAATGTCTCCAATAAGCATACAGTATTTAGTGGAATGCACGATACACGATGTGGAAACACCGTTGAGCGGCAAGCACGCGCGACCTGTCCGACATTACAGCAGTTGTCGCAAGTGGTTGCTTTTGTTTATAATCGCTTACTTGCTTGTCTTTCGCCACACCTCTAGCACATGAATGAGCGTTTGTAGTTCGGTATAAATCGAGGTTTGGCCGCTTGGGTTGCATCTGAAGAATGACCATGTTGGTATTGATTCTAATGTTGTACCACGTATTTTATTTACTTCACTACTGTTCCCGCGGCTTCCAAAATAAGCCTGATCTCATCTTCCGAAAGTGGACACCCTCGGGCCTTGTTGTCGAGAATGCCAAATATAAGAAAATGGGTAGCTAGGATGACTGCGCATTGCGTCGACGGACTGCCCCTATAATGGCGATCAGGAAGGCACGTCATTTTCATCTTCCTGCTGTATTTGGGAAATATTCAGCCTTGCAGTAAACACGTGCTGTTGTAATCCCCAAAGACTATCCAGAGACTTTAGAAACCGTGACATAAAATGGTTTTTATACAACCGTAGCGCATGGAAATGCGTTTGACCCTCCACACCCAAATGTTGTCTCAGCAGTTTTACATATTGTTGTTCAGTAATACTGCTATAAGGATTTGTAATCTTGAGGAGTACAAGGTAGTCATAGAATGTTCTCTTCTATTAGGAGGAAACTGCACGTGAGGGATTAAAAGCCGTTTCCTTCCAAAGCTGATGCGGTGAAATAAATTGAGTCATAACAAAGAATTCCGGATATAGAAGCCTTTGCCAGTGTTAAAGTCTACACCTGCGGAGTAACGCCAGCCTGTGTACGTAATAATGGCTCTTAACCGAAAGACGCAAAGACAACAGGTCATATCTAGCTGGACGCGTGTAGACGTGTATTCCACCCAGAACGGGTACAGAGCATCGACCAAGTAACTGAAGCCAACCACTGGGGAATGAGTAACTGATAGGCTAACAGGCGCTCACGGTCGATGCCGACGTGAACACTGATTAGAACGGGTAATTCTTACGTCACGGCTCACAATTACGCCAAGCTTTCATTGTCACTTACTAGAAATTTATGCAAAGAACGCAAATTCTATTCATGTTCTCCCCGTTTTTCTTGTGTAGCGACAGAACGCAGTGGTACGTTCCACTACTCCATAAATTTTCATTGTATTGCCTGTTGAATCTATGTCCAATTACTAGTGTTTCATGAATTAGAGAATAGGCATTTTGATCGTCACGGGTCATCAGGCGGTGAAAATTTAATGAAGCTTTTTTCGCATCTCAATGAACTCAAATGGCCATAACTAAAACACAGCTTACAAATAATAATTATGCTGCCGAATTTGTCTATTTGATAAAAGCTCCATTAAATGCGGGAAGTTAACGACCAAAGCTTTGCTGATTTGGTCATATCCAAGCATGCCGTTTATTGGCAGATCGTGAGCAAGCACATTTTAGTGTGAAAAGATGTTTCTTTGTGCGTAGCCATAGGCCAAAATGGCATAACTGCCATGCCTGTATCTCTGTATAATTTAAATAACAATGCACTTGCAATGTTTGCGTATTGTTAAGCATAAGATTTAATTCTAAAGGCAAACTTTTCCATAACTGACTAACACTTTGATTTGTACACTTGAAATAAAATATTCTTTGGACAACGATCAACAACTGCAAGCAAATACAATTCAAAATCTCTTGGAAGTCACTGATTTCTTCTCAGCGATTGTCATTACAACAGTATACGAAATGTGTTGTGTTGAGATTTGGCTCCGGAGAATACAGGCACGCGTCCTCATAAGCTTATCGTGTGAGTGTTCTGTATCGTGCACCAATCCTCACAACACATTGTCTCTACCCAGATGCGTAGTACCGTCGCTGCGACACGCATCTTCCATAATTACATTGAGACCTCTTGAAATTTCTTTACCTTCGTGAGTTAAGATAAAAACACTGAACAGCGAAAGCATCGAATTCCTTTCTTAGTTTCTTACAGCAAGCTTGACAAGTAACACTTACTTCGGAACACAGGATACATTGCTATAGCTTCCAAATCAGATGGGCTACTTCCGATACGGACAAGCATCAGGCGATCGTTTTGTATCTCTGAGACTCGTCAGTGCCGTACACCATTTGGCTCAATCAAGAGCAGAAGCAGTGGCTACCTGCGCTTGGAACTAGTAGACAACAGCTTATGCTGGTGGCCACAAGGGACTGCATCTGACAGCCTTTGGTTTCAAGCAGACTTTTAGTCTAATAGCTTCTATATGCTATGCCGAATGTAGCTGTTGTACTGGAAACCGTGCACCCGAGGGGTCATCCTCGTCCCGTGCAGCGTTCACAGATATATGATAGTTAACGGTGCGTGTCGTTATATCGCAAGCAGCATATAAATCATGACCGTAAGCCCCAGTCCCTTGTTTCTAAATAGCATAATCCTCTAGCTATTGGCACAAATTATATGTGATCACGAGTGATTATCCCGACGAACCAGAGAGATGACTACCATTGACAAGTCTCAGTATTACGAAACGGCTGTCTGGTGTTTTCGAGATAGATCGTCCATGTGACTTAGAACCAGGTGCCAAAATGTCTGTATAAAATTTCGACAAACACTGCACGTCAGAAACCATGGCCTCTAATTGGTATGTCAAGCAATCATTCTTGCTTGCTGTAGCTCCATAAAGGTAACACCCATTCGTGTCGAGTGAAATGTCATGAACTATAACATGAATGACTGCTTGATTCCGTAAGCTGTTCCAGTGCATTGCTTAATAACTTGTGTTCCAAGTTTTATAATTATTGTACGGGTTAGGTAGTAGTACAAAGCACGACGGAATCATTTAACCTGTAACGTCAACAACAAAGTAGTACTAAATAATAACCAGTGATAAGTGGGAACAAATAAGTGGCTTAGTGTTATATCCAACAAAAGTCAAAAAAACGGGAAGTATAGTGCAGAGAATATCGTTTCGGGAAGAATGTTCCACGGATAACACACTGGAATGAAGAATGTACCCCACTTTGGTGTAATGTTTTGCTGGCTTCAAGGGATGATCTCTCAGTGTAGTATTATTGCTGAGTTGCGGTGGACATCGGCAGACTTTGTTTGTATTGCATGAAAGCAAGTAGGCCATTAGTAGGTAGCTTCGTAAACAGTAAGTCACGCCACTAAATACTGCCAAATCTTTCATCCTGTGTTCATGAGATGGATCGCGCTTTCTATTGATATATATAAAATCCCGACATTGAGGCTTGTCCAGTGCTGCGCGATCGTTTTTCAACCATTTCTGCCAGGCCTGAATTACGTAATCCCTATGGGAGTGCAAACATGCACAGAGCAAATCTCGAAAAATTAAAATATATATTTGTTCGAACTCCTGTTTTAACAGACAGACGAGTTCGGTACCATTTTTCATGCCTTTTAGGAATGCCAAAGCAACCCAAGTTATTTAACATAAACACGTCAGGTTTTGGCCCGGCGATGATCACGTTCTGAGCCTGTATGAATAAGTACTAAGGTGTAGTATAGAAACTATCATGCAATTTTCACATTGCACTGCAGCAGATTTTGTGTTGATAAGTGACATACCTGATATTGGTCACATCGAGGCAAATGCTGATCGACATCCGCTTGAATGAAGTTACATATAATTCTCGTCAGAAAACAGAGGGGAATTTGAAGCTCTTTTATGTGCAAGGTCATTAGTGTAGATCAAAGCAACTGTGGCCCTAGAACTGTACGATAAAGCACATCACCCTCGTTACTTAGGGGCTCAAGTTAAGATGTGCGGACTCCAAAAACTAATTGCCGTTGAAGGAGATAGTTGGGGATCTACCTCGACAGAAGTTCGCCAGTGCCGCGATATTAGAGTTTGGAAAGGCGAATCAATGATCTAAATGATGGAATGTTCTCCAGAAATCCAAGTAGATTACGTCAAGTCTCTCTGTAGCGTCAAAAGACTCGGTCCAACTACTCCGTGCGATTAATAAATTCCTAGTGCACGACTGAAATCGACGGAAGCTGTGTTACTGAGAGCAATACTCATTCGATTTTTAGATACCACAAATGCATCGGCAATGAGAGAGTACATGACGTAGGATAGTAGAGAAGGGAGAGATACTGAACAGTAGTTGGAGACCTAGTTTTTGCTTTTTTTAGGAATCGGGGTTATTGTGCCAAGCTTCCACATGGCAGATCCTTGGTTCCATTATGGAACAACGTTGAAAGAACTGAGTCAGAATGATTGCCAGTTTTCTGGCTGCGGCTCCTAGTGATTCTGGGCGAATGACATTAACAATCAAGGAGCTGTGATTACGCAGTATAGGCAGCTATTGCAAAACGGCTTCGACAGTAAAAGTGCTGCGGTTGAATACCGGAGGCGAATCATTGAAAAGCCGGAGGTTTGCTTTATGGTAATACCCACTGAAATGTGGGAGCCTATTGCGTCCGCAACTCGTTTGCTGCCTCTATAACCGGTCTTGTTGCATTATCCGCAGACCAAATTGAAGAGATTTTGTGCCTTACAGTACGAAGGCCATCGATATGTTTGTGCAGCATTTTATGCTTAAGCGTTGAATGTTTTCATCATGTTTTGTTAAGCTGCGCATTTGTCTCCTCTATGCAGCTGAATACAGTGGTTACGAAGGGCTAAGCTTTTGGTCCAAGTACCTTGTGTAGTGAATGACCTATAAACTCGCCAAGCTATGTTGCGGACTGATAACCATTCTCGAGTTCATCACCTTACGAAAATAATTGATTTAGGCTGATTGCAATCTCTTAACTTGAAAACATTCGTAAGCACTTGATTGCATTTGTTGAGGACGGCAAACAGACGACTTGCGGGAGGTCTTAGACGTGGTTCGGACATTTTATGATACTGACAAGTTGATTTAAACGGTCTTTGCGAGTAATGGTGCGCACTGCCGTACGATTCTCATGACGACATTCCGCAAAGCAGATAACGTTGAAATCGATGACTGTATGACCACTGCTAATCCAAGGGCATTTTACAGCCAGTAATTTAACCATATGTTCATCGTTGGTGATCACAAGAACTAGCTTAGAGAGTGTGTTCCTTTTATAAAAAAATAGGCTAAATGAGGTGATGTAATGTAGAGCACTGAGTACGGGCTCGTGCAAACAAATCTGCATTCTTTTCCGATCTTGGTAGACGTTTGTAGAAGATGTATATTTACGTCACCCATAAGATGCATGTGACTGTATTTCCCTTTTAGTTTGAATATTAAGGCTTTATCAAGGTGACTGTATTCCATCGCTAGATGCAAGTATCACAACCGAGTTGAAAAATAGGCTGCTCTGAAAGAAGTTAGCATTCCACAGTCATCGAGACAAATGATGCGTCGGTTCAGTAGCCTTAGGAACTTATTTTCAGGTTCCTGTTCGGATATGTCTAAAAGTACCGTACATGTAGGGCGGTCATGTGATGTAATACAAGTGCGCTTTAAATTCATATGCAATATGTTGTTTAAATCTCTTGCGATACGCAGCCTCACTATAGTACAATTCTCATTTTGTTGTTATGTTGAGCAATTAAGAAACGCGGCTCGCTTAGTAAACGTTTCAGCCAAAATATGTTGGTATAATCACTCGTACCCTGTAATTTTGCTGCATCCAGAACCCCTACGCAAGGAACGCAGAAGTAAGTTGTAGTATGGATTAAAAGCAGTGTACTTGCGCCTGAGTATAACGCAAAGTCTAAATGTATGTTCCATACTTTTGGATTGACGTTTCGCACATTTTCGGCATCGTGTGTCCTGCTGACAAATTGTTATTAATGACAGTAATAGAAGGAACCGCAAAACGAATATTTTCTGGATACCTCAGGATCAACTACTTATGAATGGTTGAAACCTTTCTGTGTTCTAATTATACACATGCAAATTTAAATTCTGCCATTAGAGCAGAGCTATATGAGCCAGAAAGGAAGAGGGATATGTTTGCATTCTCATTAAATAACTCTTATGATATTGAGGTTTTCCATAATTGAAACAATTTGTTAGCTATGTTGCATACCATACACACACACACGAACTTGATAAGATTGAATATAACTACAGAGCACAATTAAGGAAATTTTGGTTGATTACTAAAATTTATGGCATACTTCCTACCTACCAACAATAACGCTAGACAGTATATGCTATGTAAGCAACAATCCAAGCTTTTACACGTTTTTTTGCTCTGAGTCGGTTCATTGTAAAGAGATACCAGTAGAGGCTATGTCGCAAAATCGACGACAAAAGAATCATCAGTAAACACAACGACCTTGATAATCCAAATATTGTTCACTTCTTTGGAACTCGGGCAAAAAGTGAGGAAGGATAATAGGCGGATCATTTGTAGGCTATCAGCGTCGAAGAAGTTTGCTTATCTCGTTACGTAGATAAAGATAAAAGTTTTCCTCGCGGATTTGTTAAGTATAAACCCAGCAATGCAAACATGTTTGGTCACGCTAGTCGAATTTTAGGCGGGGCTTTTTAAAAACCGCATCAGCCTTGCTCGAATGCCAGTATTCAGATATTCCATCGGACGAAGATATCTCACCGACTAATAGCTGGCTGTACCCACGGACGTCACGGATTTCCGCTTTACCATGCTGGACTCCACTTTCGCTTTGGGAATACTGTGTTATACGGGATTACTCTGTGTGAATTTTATACCAATACTTTGCTTTTGGCGTATTTTTCTCTATGTGCTTATTTGGGGGATATTCCCCAGATCCTGTCGGAGATCTCACAGATTAGCCCAAATGCCGTCTGTGTCCAGTATCTTGAAGTTGATATACAGCAAGAGAACAGGTGTCTACCAGAACACCAGCTTGACGGACAACGTTTGGATTCAGCATACCAGTGCAAAAGTTGCAACCAACAGCTTTCGCATATCTAACAGTCACAATGGCAGGTACTGGTTGCCCACGGAAAGCTAAGTCCAAAGGTTCCGAAAGGCTCCTTTGTTGTGGCGTAGACAGCTGTGTAAAACTTGTAGGATTTGGAGTAGAATGTAGAAACTGCTGAAAATACTTTTATACTCGATGTGCTCGCCTTAGTCACAGCCAGATAAAAATGCTTAATAGTAAGACTGAATCCCTCTGGATCAGCACTGAGTGTACGTCACTTTCACTCGTCAGTTGTATCACTGTGTTGGCGCAGAAGTACGATTGGCTAACAACGATTGTAGAGCAGGCAGCAGCAGAGAATGCTGTCCCGCAGGAACCAGACAAATCCGTGTCTCGAACTAGAGGCTCAACATCAAGCACCAATACAGCACAGTATAAGAGTAAATAACCAGAGTTAGTCGCTGCGACACTAGCGCCTCCTCATAAAAAGGCGTTCGCCACACATTCCTCAGCAGGATCCCCCGCCACACTAAACATTGTTAGAGGTCCGACAACCTACACAGTCGTTATTGATACCTTTATGCCGGAGGCACCTTCAATTACAACCCCGCCGGCTGTCGAACGAGTTACTACTGCCAATATCATCACCGGACTCTAAACCTCGTCGCTTGTCCAACCGAAGAAACTAGCTACTAGTCCCTCCACAAAGGAGAACATGAAACACTATTGTAGTCCTCAAAATGTTATATATGCTCAAGCCAGACTGAATCCGAGGGAACTTCATGAACGATGATACTAGACGACAACATTCAGTGGGACTCCCTGTGACAACGCTTTGGGGTTCAAGCTAAACCAGTCAGTATAATGCGTCTCGTCCGTCATTTAAACTCCGTACAGTACGATGAACCGCAGTTACTCTAGGTAACATTTCAGTCAGGTAATGATGCAGATGTAGTTCTCCTGTCAGCCACTCGCCTCCGTATCACCACACGCACTGTTCGAATATTTCCAGATGTTCTCTAAAGCGAACGTTAGAAACGCAAGCAAAATCTGGCTGACTTCAAAAACAACAAGACGCAAAATCTATCCTTGTTCATGGGGTCTCCGAGCTCCAGTGACTAAGCTAGCTGGAGGTCGAAGCGCATGACTGAGATGAATGCCGTTTTATTCATGGAGTACGCTCACTCGAAAATGTTATCGCTACTTCAACATCAAATTTACCGTTATCACCTAACTACAAAGGGTATGGTCACCGAATGATGAAAGTATCATTGCAATACGAATTGATGGTGGAACATATGATCAAAATGTATCACAAATAGCGTGCAATGTTGCCATGCGAAATGCATACAAATGCAGTAGGCTCCGGGCCAGTAATAGACACTATCACTGAGAAAGCAACTTACCATTGCAATTCTGTCATCATGTAGTTCAGAAAGGAAAATTGTCGAAACACTCCGGAGGCTGAATGATGATAGCATGTTCACCCTCTTGTTGGCGTTGCGAACTCTATACAACAACCTGAACTGGTCCTAGGGCATACGTCATCATTCCACCAAAAAATCACCGGCACCCGACCCGCTAGTGTCAGAATAGGCCCAGACCGGAACCAAGCGTTTACAAATAAGCTTTTGACAACGAATGCACTCACCTGTTTGTATACCAAGCTAATCGAACATCGTATGCATCAGGTCTCTACGCCTTGGGACCTGGTTATTGTCACCGAAACATGGCTGAACACGGAGATCACGGATGCTGAGATTGACTTCATGACTTCTGTACGAAACGATCGACGTAGCAGAGGAGGGGTGCGCTCCTTTATTATCGATCCTACTTGCAGGTTGATGTTATTGAAGACCCAGCAACGCAAGTCCTCAACACTCATTGATGTCTTACGCACCCAAGAAGTGGTGATGTGTGTTTATTAGCATTAATTTACCGTTCTCCAATGTCTACCTCGGAAATAGATCAATGCCTAGCTTCTGCGAGGAAACGGGTCCTGGCACGATCATAAAGTCACGTCCAGCTGGTGGAAGACTTCAGGCTGCACGCAACTGATTTCCCAGCGTCGCATTGCGGACAATTCAAGGCGGATTTGCAGGAGGTGAGCACCGATGTACGTCTGTACAACCAGGTCACTTATCCCACGCGATTCCGGACGGGTAACACACACTGTTTTGGGCCTTGCGGTCTCCATCGATTATCTAATGGTCGACACCGTAACCATAGATGTCTCACTTGGCCCTAGCGGTCACGCGATGTTGATCTTCCGTTACATCTGTTACTCGGAATACATCAGTGAGAACAACCTGGAAACCCATGTCGTTACACATTACGAGAAACTGTCCAACTTCGATCAAGAAACCGACTATTCCTTCCTGACGGAGAAAACGTGCGACATCGCCTGAATGTTGTTAGTCACTCAATTCACTGATCTATTGGCAAATGCGTCAGAAAGAAAAGTCCTTCGCCCGAAGCAAGTGAATTCCTTCCTGAGGAGGTAAACTAGAAAATGCATGGCCTTAAGTGATTCAGCCTGACGCGCTTACAAAGCCTGTCCAAGTAACCTAAACTGGTGTGTTTACACAACTCGAAGAAATCACTGCTTCAAGTTGATACGCGAAGACAAACTCCAGCACCATTAGCCATTAGCGTCGAAATTCAGTACAAAGCCTAAGTTGCTTTATAGACGCCTCAAAAGGCTCCGCAAAGCGCAGTACGGGATCCCGGTTTTACGTGCAACAGGTGGTCTTGCGCAAACAGCACAAGTTGCAGCCATGGTGCTTCACCAACAATGCATCTATATTTTTCGGAGTGAATCATCATTTCGTCCTTTTTACACAGTTTCTATCGACACCAGGGTTAAACTGCGTATCGTTCATGGAAGCCAAGGTGATGAAAAAGCTAATGTCATTGCGCGTGCACATCTCACATGACGTGGAGGACATCAAGCTGAAGGCCTTGAAGCCAGCGTCCATGAAACTTACCGAACCATTATTTTGGTACTTTCCACGTTGTATTGACGAAATGCGGGTTCCGACAATGTAAGAACATTAACTAGCCACTCCTATTTACAAAAGTGTTAATCGTCCGGATACCTCAAACTACCGTCCAATCACTCTCCTCTCAGTTTTATCCAAAGTAATGGAGCGCATAATTGCAGAGGCGCTCATAGGATTTCCTAGTTTTACAGTAACGCGGATTCCACCGAAATCGATCCTGCACTACAAACTTGCTGCTAGTCCGAGCAAGCTGAACAGAGTCAGCCAATACCGGAGTGGGAGTCCACGTTGTCTACCTGGACTTCTTGAAAGCCTTTGATCGTTTGGACCACGGCATTTCCTGTACAAGCTTCGAAGCTATGGAATCGGTGACCCTATATTCGTTTGGATCGGCAACTTCCTCGCTCAACATCAGCTGCATGTGAGAGTCCGCAACTCCATTTCCGACCCAATTGCCGTCTAGTGTGGCGTGCCTAATGGATCGATACTGGGGCCACGTTTATTCCGCACATTCAGTAACCAGCTTGCCAGTGTATTACAGTCGAATTTCTTAATATTTGCAAGTGAGATCAAAATTTGACATTATATCAGGACATCGGATGATCACATAACATCGCAGAACGATCTCGACAGGCCATATGCGTGGTCATTCCACAACCGGCTCCAGTTCCACGTGACCAATTGAAAAGTGGTAAGCATACGCCATCAGCTTATCTATGAATATCTACTAGCGGACAAGCAGTTACGACGTGCTTCCCGAGAAAACGACCTCGCAGTGACCGAGCAGAACGAGCTTGGTTG